CTACAGGAGAAGATCTTACTCTAGGCCACCCAGATTTATGTTATTAGATTGGGTTATTATAGTATTAGGAGCTTGCTTCCAAAATTTCTGAAAACGTCTAATGCAGATGAAATTTACAGTCTAAGCAGAATAAAATGCTCACCTAGCTTCTGAATGCGAGTCAATAGCCAGTATTGTCTTCTTTCCAATTTATTCAAGTAGTTCCATGAAAGATATAATTTATTGAATTTGAAATTATTTTTCCCTGCCTCGTCTTTTAATCTGTGAAGAAAAATTCATGATTAGTATGATAGCTGGTGTTTATTATCCCTAGTATACTGTGTTAAGAGTTTAGAAGTATCTCACACCCTCATACAGAATTCATTAGTGAAAAAAAGTTTGGTATTGTTAGTCAGCAGATACTTCTTTCTGTAATAAGTCAGTTTTACACTCAAAGAAATTTTAGACACACGAGGTTTTTTTCTTGCATATCTGACATACAAAATGTTTACTAGTAGAATATAGTGTTTGGTTTGATAATATAAAATGAAGTCCCAGGTGTCATTCAAATAGAGATGAATACAAATCATGAGTAAAAATAAATTAATGAAGTTTTTACTAGTTTATTTTATATCTTCTCGGGTTTATATGTAATTGTATAACTCCTCATTGAACAAGGATCTTTCAAATTATACAAAATTTGGTGTTGCTTTTTAGTAATACATTTTAGTAAATACCACCACCCAGTGAATAGATACTGACACTGACAAGGTGCAGGTGGAAGGAGAAAAGGGATGGTGCGCCACGGATTTAGTGGTCATGTTCCCTTTTCAGGATAAATCACACTAGACAGCAAAATTGATCATGAGGTTGTTCATTTTTTCTGAATCACCCTGGAGCAGGGTTAGAGCCTATTCATACACCTCCTTCTTGATTTTTGAAAGGCTCGCACTCAATACTTATTACTAGTAAAGTGCTGTCTTTCACAGTTCCACATCCTATATATGGTGTAAGTAATTTTTTTCTTCTGCTGCTTCTGTTTGGTTGTCGTTGTTATCATTGTGGTTTGGTTTGGTTTTATATCAGATAAGCCCTGTGGACATCCTGGAGATACTGAGTTTGGTTCCTTTGAACTTACCAGTGGAAGTGAATTTGTATTTGGTGCCAGAGTGGAGTACAGATGTGATGATGGGTAATACTTATTTAAATTAATATATGGGAGTTAACATAAGATGTTAATTATAGTGTCAGCTGTAGAATTGTCTGTAATGCAGCTGCAACTTAATTTTAATGCTTGATTATTGTTTAATTAAAATTTCTGCAATTACAGTAATACTAAATATAATTCGTTCTCATGTCTGGTGCTATTGGAGTAAGTGAATTCCTGCACCTGAAACTATCATCCAAACTGTTTAAAATATATAAGGCTGTAGCTAACTTGAAATCATGGCTGTCTGAGTAGAAAACAAAAATAGTGATCTGTCAGTAAAGCTGCCTCATGTCTCCACCAGCCATCCAGTTCAGATGGAAATGCAGCTCTGTGTGCTGGAAGCAGTGCTTTCAGTAGGCAGGCACAATGCAGTTATGTTAGCAAAGGCATTAGGCCATACAACAGTCTCATATTTAAGACCTGCTTAATTTTTATTTTTTTTTTTTTGAAGAAGAAGAATGTATTTTAAAAAACGTTTGAGGGAAGACATTTCTATAGATTCGCTAACATCTTCACTGACTGCTTGGAAGAAACTCTTCTCTCTTCCTCCTTTATTCATCTTCTCCAATGAAAACTGCAGTAAGGCAAATACATAGTATTGAGCTTAGTTAAGGATGCCCATGACTGGATTCTTTTCTCTTGAAATGCAAATCAACTATGGTAGTTTAGCCTTGCTTTTGTAGTCTCTGCATTGCTGGAATCTAGTCTGAATTCCACGAAAAGAATTCCAAAATCAATAGTCTTCTTAATGCCATCATTTCAGACCATTCTTCACTGACATTTCGGACTGACAGTACTTCCTCTATCTACAGTTCAGACAAGGCAGAAGCCATAGCATTGGGGCCATATTGCCGTCAAGCCTAAGACACCTAACTAAACTAAGACACCTAAATCTAGCTTATCAAAGCATGAGATATATATGGTTTGGATTAAGTCCTATTTTGATGCTGTCACATGGCTTTTAGTCATACTAGAGCACAAACAACAGGAGTTTTACTGTACTTGCCGTTGGTCATGTCAATTACCTGTAGGTTATTTGTTATGTGGCCAAAGCTTGCTATCACTGTAATGAAGAAGCAATCTTACTGATTACTGCCTACTTCCAGATTATTTTTTTATTATTACTTTTTGCAATTAAGTAATAATTTAAATATTCTTAAATAATACACAATTAAAATAAATAGGGAAGATGCAGGCTGAATAACTACTCAGTTTTGACTAGTCTGTGCTAGAATATATGAAACCTACATCATTTGCTTCAAAACCAGCAGCACTACTGTTTCTGTCACATAATGAGACTGTATTTTAGCATTGTTTACTTTTTATTCGGTAAGATACTGGATGCTCAGCCAAAGAAATTACCGTGAGTGTAAGGCAGATGGATGGAGCAATGACATCCCTCACTGTGAAGGTAAATGAAGTTTGACATTTAATACTTTAGCAAACTGTCTTTTTATCTGTCTGATACTGTCTAGAACTAGTCTGTGATCTCTCTACTAGTATTAATTCAAGTTTTGCAGCAATGAAACTTACAATTACTGCTCAACCATTTTAGTCCAATAACCACTTGAGCTTTTGTTAGAAATCATTCACAAAATGGACTCTTGTCCATTAAAGCTCTGCCTCACCTAAAGGCCCCGATAGAGTAGATGCCTGCAGAACATGGTTACAAAAGGCAATTGGGATGAGGCATTTTGGATGTATGTGAAAGGATGTGTGTTTTTAGCTAGCTTTCTCCTCCACCTGTACAAATATCCTAGCCATTAGGATTTTATTGTAGGTTAAGTTCTCTCTATTAGCATACTGTTGAAGAACTTTACTAAAGTAAGAACTGATAGTCTGTGTTTTGACATCTCCTTGGTCTGAGATATTTCACAGTTTACTGGATTTTGAATCTCCTCAATTTTAGGCATGCAGATCTCTGTCTGCACAGTGTAGAGCAATGGTTTCCAACATTTTTTGTCACATGTCACCAAGATACTGCAGTTTCAAAGTCCTCGTAAGATTTTTATTTCATGATTGATGAGTTTGTATTATTCCTAATTGTGAGGAAACTAGAAGATAAAATGTGAGCTCATAGAAAAGGCTCATAGACTTAGAAGATGGCAAATGTTGTTAGAAAGAAGTGGAAGCTAGGGTAGACAAAAAAAAAAGTCACTTGCTCAGTAATATCTATGTGAGCATTTAAGAATGAGATTTGATAGGCATATCCCCCTTAAATAGAAATATCTAATGTCATATGTTAATTCTTCCTTTTTCTGCAATTACAAACAAGAGATATAAGAGGCCTAAGTTTGTGGCTGATGTTGTGTTTGTTTGCTTGGGTAATATGATGTTCTGATAATATGATTGTTTTGGTAATATAATTGTTCTGGTAATATATCCTTAACTAGGATTTTTAGTTAGTAACTGAACTGTTGTAGTCAATCTATAACACAGCCCTTTTCCAGGTATTTGTCTATAACAAATTCAGTTTAGCATAGCTCTAAAGTAAATTAACCTATTCTGTCAAAGTTTAATACCTCTACATGTCAGTCAAGGCTTATCTAACCATCCACAGAATTCATAGGATCATAGGATAATTTAGGTTGCACAAGATGTCAGGAGGTCATCTAGTTCATTGGGTGCTCTGTCTTTAACCTTCAAGGACAGAGAAGAGGATTGATGAGAGCCAGTCTACAAGCTTCCTCCTATGTCAGTCTGCCCTTTTTCTTAGGGTTTTGTACTATGTCTGTTGCGAATGGTATCTGAATACATAACAAGAATGCATATTTCTAAAATGTGTAAGGAAATTACAGTGAGATTTCTGTATTTTAACATTTTTGTCTAACAATTTATTTTATAGAATAGACCTCAAAATGGCTGGGGTTTTTTTTTTTCCTTTTTTTCTGCTTTGTTTTATTTTCCAGTGGCGAAGTGTTTACCTGTACAAGCACCGGAAAATGGAAGAATAATTACGACTGGTGCATTTGAGCTTGGCCAAGAATATTCTTTTGGCCAGGTTGTAAAATTTGAATGTAATGCAAAATACAAGCTTGTTGGAGCTAAAGAAATTATTTGCTCATCTAATGGAAAATGGAATAGTGATGTGCCTCAGTGCCAAGGTAAATAAGACACTATTTATTATCTGTTATTAAGAAGCTTTGTTCTCACAGATTTGTAAGGATTGGTTACTAATGGGAAACTACAGAGCTTGCACTTTATTCTACAGCAATTAAGCCTAGCTGGACTGTAAACAATCTCCATTGCACATATGCAGGAGAAGTAGGATGAGAAAGAGAAATTAGAGAATATTGGATGCTAATATATTCATAGTGGACCATCTGTTAGTTCCACGTTTTCACTACAAGCTGTATGTTTTGCCAGGCTGCAGGTTCTTTGAAAATAGCTTTGGTATGTCTACATAAGATTCGATCACGTTGGTGTTAATTTAACCAAAGTAATTACAAACAATTTGAATCTATGTGAATCAAGTTTAAAAAGTGAGTATGGTTTTAATTCCCCTCTTTCAACCTGCTGGCAGCACTCTTCCCAGTAGAACCCAGGATGCTGTTTTATTTATGTGCTGGAAAGGCACATTGAGCACATTGGTGGTCCCTGTTTGACTTGTCCATCAGGACTGCCAGGTTTTTTCTACAAAGCTACTTTTCAGCTGGTCAATCCTACCCTGCCTGATCCACAGCTTGTACTGGTAGAAGGGGTTTATTCCTCCCATTTTGCAAACAGAGGTTGAGTGAGGTTAGTTTGTCAATATTAACAATGAATCCTAGGAAGCTTATGCTAACAAAGACTTAAATATTCAGTCCATTAAGTTTCTTAGATTATTTATGTATTATCTAATTGGGAAGTGTGTGTTTAGAAGAGCAGAGTACATATGTCAGGATGTCTGATACATGTATGGTTTGTTCACTCTTTCAGTGCTGCATTTTGCTGCTTTGAAACCCCCATTTATTATAATTCGAGTAACAGAAAGTGAGAATAAACACAACGGCTAGTAACGTTTGCAGAATATAGTTCAATTCTTTTTTCCTGTTAATGCCATGATTTAACGAATTGTCAACTGGCTATGAGAGCGCTTTAGATTTGCTGAAAATCACAAGGAAATGAAATTATCTGAAAAAGTGAAAATCCTATATTTCAGCAGCCTAGTTACTTGGTTTAGAATGTCCCCTGCCTTATACACTGATCTGAGAGCCATTAAAATCCAAAGCAAAGCCTTGAAATCTGGTTCGTGAACCAATTTGCTATTGATGCTGTGCTACACCACACTTTATAGCTGCCACCCACAATCAGGTCCCTGAAGAGTTTTCAAAGATTCAAACAGTTTCCAAATACAAAGGGCTTTGTGAAGCGAAATGAAAAAAGAAAAGAACCCACAACAGACAAACCTAAATTTTATTCCAGTAGGGATTTATTCTTAGCAAATAAAAATGAACAAAAATGTATGGATATTCTCTTTCTTATTTTCAGAAATTATCTGTGATGTGCCAAAAATTCTACATGGATATGTACGGTCTCCAAAGGCATCTTACAAGGAAACTGAACAACTACAGTTTGCCTGTGATAAAGGATACAGATACCATGAAAGAGCAGATGCACGATGTACAGCATCAGGGTGGAATCCAATCCCCTATTGCACTGGTATACCTTACCTGAAGTTATTTGGCACATTTTTTGTGTTTGGAAGTAATTTCAGAGATTAATAATGACAAAAGTTAGTTTATTCATAAAGAAAGAAATCCGTCCACATCTGACCAATATCCCATGAAGATCTGGAAGGAGTAAGTGTTAAGTGTTAAAGGGACCAAACAACTGGATAAGAGTTTTCCGTGGAAAGCAGTAGCAAAAACAGTTAATTCAGTCTCTTTTTTATTTGTGTGTAGTTGAATAGGTCCACAAAACAACAATTGCTCCAGTATACTGCATAAATGAGACTTATACTAAAATAATTCATGCAGCATTAGTAGCTGTTGTTGTTTTATTCTTTTTTTTTTATATGATTCAGAATTAGTGGGAATAATACAGGAAAAAAATCTAATTTGGAGAAATAGGAAGGAAAAAGCTGAATCTCTTTACATTCTACAAAATATGATGAAAACATTTTATCTGAGGAGTGGAAAAACCAGACACTAAAAAGAAAAATTAAGCAAGCAGGAAAAAATAGGTGTTAATACCAGAGAAATTTGAACTACAGAGGGAATCTGAAATATTTAGTGACATGGGAAAATAAACATTTGAAACCAGCTTCTTAGAGAGGACTAATGGTTTTTGAAGTCCTATTGTATTCATATCAAGTCTCAATATTTTTTAAGTGTGTTTAACATGAACATAACTGGTACAAGTCAGTGGCTGCACTGTATGTTGGAAGACTAGTTAAAGAATTATTTGTTTGATACCATATGAATTGCAGCAGTATGAATAAAATTGACTGTCCTGATTTCAGCTGTAACAGCTATTTTTCTCCTTCCTAGTAGCTGATGCAGTGCTGTGTTTTGGCTTTAGTCTGAGAACAATGCTGCTGACACACCGATGTTTTAGTTGTTGCTAAGTAGCGTTTACTCTGATCAAGGACTTTTCAGTCTCTCATGTTCAGCCAGTGAGGAGGGGCACAAGAAGCCTGGAGGCAGCAGGCAGGATATCTAACCCAAACTAGCCAAAGGGGTATTCCATACCACTGCATGTCATGCCCGGAAGGGCAGATCTCTGCTTGGGTCGGGCAGGGTATGGGTCAGCAGGTGGTGAGCAATTGTATATGCATAACTGCTGTTTATTGAGGGTTTTTTGCCTTTCTTCTTTTAGTTTTATATTCTTTCCCTTTGATATTTCCCTTATCATTATTAATATTAGTAGTAGTTTTGTGTTATACTTTAGTTACTGGACTGTTCTTATCTCAACCCGTGGGGTTTACATTCTTTGGATTCTCCTGCCCATCCCGCTCAGAGGGGGAAGTTGGCCAGGGGGGTGTGAGTGAGTGGCTGCCTGGTTCTGAGTTACCAGCTGGGCTTAAACCACAATGTTGTGGAAAAAATAATAGTCTTAGCCTGATGACATACTTACGAATCACCACTTAGCATCTCACTCTATATGAACATTTGAGACAATGGAAGTTTGCTTGACCTACTGAACTGACCTCTGCATTTTGTCTGAGTGTCCTGATGAGTCTTACAGTAGCGTGAGCAGACTGAGCACCCGGTTGCTAGTTATTATATCCATTCTTTAAATTTCCAGACTACTAGTTCTGATCAACTAGCCATAACCAAAGAAGAACAATTCAAAAATTATCCCTATTTCACTGGTGGAGCTTCAGTAAGAAATTGTTAATGATGTACTCTGCAACCTGGCAGAAATGACAGGAAATTACAAAAGTATCTTTCAAAGTAAGTTTTGTGTTATACTTTAGTTACTGGACTGTTCTTATCTCAACCCGTGGGGTTTACATTCTTTGGATTCTCCTGCCCATCCCGCTCAGAGGGGGAAGTTGGCCAGGGGGGTGTGAGTGAGTGGCTGCCTGGTTCTGAGTTACCAGCTGGGCTTAAACCACAATGTTGTGGAAAAAATAATAGTCTTAGCCTGATGACATACTTACGAATCACCACTTAGCATCTCACTCTATATGAACATTTGAGACAATGGAAGTTTGCTTGACCTACTGAACTGACCTCTGCATTTTGTCTGAGTGTCCTGATGAGTCTTACAGTAGCGTGAGCAGACTGAGCACCCGGTTGCTAGTTATTATATCCATTCTTTAAATTTCCAGACTACTAGTTCTGATCAACTAGCCATAACCAAAGAAGAACAATTCAAAAATTATCCCTATTTCACTGGTGGAGCTTCAGTAAGAAATTGTTAATGATGTACTCTGCAACCTGGCAGAAATGACAGGAAATTACAAAAGTATCTTTCAAAGTATCTTTTAAATTAAAATCCTGACTTAGTTTATAAGCTGCCTTTCCAGAGGTGTTTGGAAATAGTAAGATAGTGTTGTAGGAGGAATACTCTGAAGTTGACATGGCCATTTCCAAAGGAGTTCAAGCAAATGTGAAACAGCCCAATTTCAGAAAATAAGTAGTGCACTGATGACCATAAGTGCATAAGCTAAAAATTACAATGGAATTGTAGTGTTAGATTATACATAAAGCTGAAAACTTTCTACACAGCCAAGAGAATGTCAAGAATTGTGTACAATATAGTAATTCACTAACCGTAAGAACCATGGACATGAACTGATGTATAAATGGAGACCAAAGCAACACTGTGTGCATGAATCCTGCCACTGTCCATCACTGAGGATAGCAATTTGTTTAATGTCACTAGAACATGCAGTTGCACAACCACATTATCCATGGCGTTGAAACTTCCCATCAGAAATTGTCTGAGAATCTCTACAAATTAATATATTTACAATGCTGAAACTCCCTCTTGCTTTCTAACTCCCAAATGCCTTCTGAGCAGTTGAGATGACAAATCCATAATTTCTGAGGCTAGTCTTGTTTTGACATCAGCCCTCTGGCTTATGGATTTTTCTTTAGTTTCATTCAACTACAGAACTTAAAGGCTATATTTAAATCTCTCTCCAAATCCCACAGAGAAGAATATGCATGTTATTGTCCCAGTTGAAATAGTTTGATGTAAATTTGGTGGAAAATGGTAGTGCCTTGAATTCTCTTCAAGAAATTGCCAGGCATTGAAACTGGAAAAAAAAAATATTGGCAACAGGGCAACATTGTAGGATGTTATGTGCCACCCACCTTCCTGGGACCTCTTCCAGAAAGACTCCTTTAGAAATAAAAAGTAGTCATAGTACCCACTCAGTTCCTGACCTTTCTGCATCAAGATTTGCAATCATATTAATTAATATGCATTGCCTACAATTTAGCAGCATGCTGCTCTTGAGAAGTGCCAAACAAAACATTCTTCCAGACACTGATAGACTGGGCAAAGATACTTGGGGCATATTCAAACAGTGGCTCTGTTTGAATACAGACTAATTGCTGAACCTAAATGATTCAGCAGTACATGCATACAAATGAT